GATGTAATTCAGCATGAAAAAGATACCATGCGTGTTTTCATCCATAAAGATACCAAAAAAGTGCATTTAAGACGACATAAGGTGCTTCTTATTGTACAAAAACAGTCATAAATAAAACAAATTTTCAACCTAAGCCGGTGAGACTGTTACCTGGTCGTAACCACTTCACTTTTGAACGACCATACTATACAGTTGAAGATTATCTTAATTTTCGTAAAAAATAACGCGATGCAAGTTGATCACATATGAGCAAAAGAAAGTCATCAGCTTTTTTAATGTAGAGAGTACCCTAGACAGCTTTAGAACAAACAAGATGAATAATTGAAGGAAAATACGTCTATTTTCTCAAAAGCTTTCGTCCTGCTTGCCACCTAATTATTTTTTCGGTGAAAGCGTCTTCTCGCCGCCGTCGGTGGTATGCCTTTTGGTCAATTTACTTTCAGGTTACGGAAGAGTATTATTTGTATTTTACCAGGCAATTCCTGCAGGATTTTTCAGAAAACGCGGTTTTTCCGAAGTTTAGCCCAAAGCTTTAAGTCTCTTGTTCAATGAGATATCTAAAAGTCATAATCTTTAAAGAGTGCTGAATATGTGAAGGGACCCTAAGAGGTAATACATTTGCTAGAAGTTAGCCCAATTTTTTTGAGTTTATCTTATTTACAGTACGGAATGTTATATCAGTGGTTGATGTTCGTAGCCAGGTACTCATGAAACCAATCCCTTAATCCCATACTGTTTTCACAATTTTATCTTAATTCTATATTTGGAACTGCCGATCTGAAACTCCTTTTCTCTTAATTTTAGGATTAGTTGGTATATAACGGATCTAGATCTTATTTTTTATTTGCACAGTGTCCCAGAACATTTGGCCGAACAGTGAGTTTTGCTGATGACATCAGTGTTAAATTTGCTTAAAAGCATCAGCAGTCATATAAACGGGCGATATTAACAAAGTTGACCTAAAAATGTCACTTCGGTTTCTGGCTTTAAAAAATATATTTGTGGAAAATCAGTACCGTTTCAAAGCGCCATAACCCTTTTATTTTGTTTTCAAAAGGAAAAGCGTTTTTCTGTGGACTTTGAATGAATGATAATAGCCGCTCAAGAAGTCCTCCTTTTTTGGTCAATATTCTGAGGGAGGCTAAAAAAAAAAACTAATTACTACTTACTGTACGAGCGACTACGTAGGTTAGTTGCACCATCATTCATCTGTATTCCAATCTGCCACAATGATTATTGCTGTTTTTCGTAATAAGTCGCTAGGTAGATATACGGGATGGAGAAACGAAGAAAAAAATAAGCTAGCGGAAAGTATGACGTAGACGAAACAATTTTCTTTCCAAATATATTGCATAAAAAATTTTTCAGGTTTTTAAAGAGTGTAGCGGAATAGGGATAAAACTGGAAAAATTTCGTGGTCAAGCTGACACTGTCAACAACTTGAAGTCAAACTAATATTTGTGCTTCTTCCACACTCATACATACATGTTGCAAGAGAAGCCATTTCTCGATGAATACAGAACTGGAAATGAAGTATCATAGTTTAAACAAAAAACGCCAAGAATCACTACCGATGGTTTATGCATTTGGAATTTTGCCAACGGAAAAGTCCGTGTTATTGTTGCTGGTTTTGCCGCAGCACCATATGCATTGATACGGAAAAGATATTGCTCATATTCTGCACCTGGTGATGGGTCCATCACTGCCTGATGGTTTTTTGGTGGATTGGGACGTCTGGGGGTTTATTTTTGACTTTACTTCGATGTATCATTTACTCGATAGAATAACAGTAAGATATAACACTTTTCATTGTTCCAATATATTCCTGCTGATTATTTGCTGTTTTTGGCGACAGCCGCTGATATTGGTTCAATATAAAACCAGACGTTCTGGAACACAAATATTTTCAGCGCATGCAGACCCGTCGCCCAGCTTTGTCAGTCATCAATAGCCGCCATATTGATTATGAATCAGAAGTTCTGAAGTATTGATTTAAGCTTCCGTTATTTTTTTTATTTTATATTTACTTGTCTTCTTTCTTTTCTTGATATTTATCCAATGTTCTTAATAGTCATGATTATAGATACTGGCATTAATGGAAATATATGTAAGTCATCGTTGATCTACTTGCGATAAAAATATTTTTTTTTAAAGTATGTTATTAAATACTTCAGTAATAATGAAAACATATTCCAATAGAAATATCTAAAGGGTTTTTTAATTTTATTTTTTCACTTTTTTTTGTAGTCTGCCTAACCAATTTATGTTGTTTGGTGGACAGCGTTGTTGCTTAACGACTGTAAAGGCAAACATACCAGTTTAGCCAATTAAGTGTTAATCAAGAAGTCAGATTGACAGGTTATTTGTTTATTTATTTATTTTTTATTTTTATTTTTATTTATTTATTTATTTTTTTTTTGCTAAAGGGGATGGAGGAACAGTGGAGGAAGGGTCTGGTAATAATTTTGTAGTATAGTTAGTAATGGAGTAGAGGGATAGTTCAATTGGGAAACCTTCATTTTGAAGGGCTTTGTGCTATTTTTTCTGATATAATGTAGATATGTTTGTAATGTCATGAAGCCGTTGTGCTGCAGTAAATTTTGCTGCATTGTCAGCCGATATGTGTGTGTTCCACTGCTTGAGTGCTGTTTAAATAGCTTCATAAGTAAGCGGCATGCCTGGAGTTTAGAATGACGTCAGAGCGATGAAATGAGAATGAGACTCAGTGGTTGAAGGAATCGAAAAAGTTTTAAAGATTTGTATTATTCAATTTGTTGTTTAAGTTTTTAAAGGTCTTGTTATTGAACATTTTTTTAAATAGAGTAAAACCAATGATATTTGAATGCCTTTATCGCATGATTGCATACTGTACTATATTGATGAAAAAATTGAGGGCTTGTATTCCTAAGCGCACAAAGAAAAAATTGAGCTTCAATTCTAGCGTGAAATAAGTTAATGCATGAATATTGTAACAGTATGTACGTGCTGATTGCAGTTTTGATTAATTTTGATTGCACCGAGCAAAAACTGATAAAAGGGCTCTGAAAAGCGACGTTGTTTTGTTGGTCATTGTATTATTAATAGATAATGTGAGCTGCATTATATTTTCAGCAAGTTTGGGGAGTTCGTTGAATGTTAATGTATGAAATGTCTGGCTATGCTTGGCTATCTGATTCTGCTTCTTTACTCGTAAAGTATAATCTGTTCCTAATGCAGTGGCGTTTGATGTTGGTTTTTTTGTTAGTATATTGTTGGTTTATTATACCAGTAGGATTTATTGAGTAGCATTTCTTCATGTTGGTTGCCAAACGGTGAAGCACATCTGCTAAGTTTTTCACAGTTTACAGGTTTTTTTTATGTGTGGTAAGATTTGCTGTCTTGAAATGTATGAATTACTCGATAATGTTTCACCTTGTTTGTTATTTTCCCTTTTGTGTTGGATGAAGGCGATTTGATGTAGTACTGGGAAGAAATTTTACTTAATTCTCTTAATTTCGACCTCTTATTATAGGCCTGTGGCAGTTGGCG